CCTGCCTAGGCAGGAAACCCTACACCACTTCAGACAAATGGTTAGCCAATATCTTCTTTTTAAAAAAAAAAAACAGTGATGGGGCGCTTACAACTTCTGGAGGCAAGTTGTTCCACAGATTAATTGTTCTCGCTGTTAGGAAATTTCTCCTTAATTCCAGACTGCTTCTCTCTCTGATTAGTTTCCATGCGATGCTCCTTCTCCTCCTTCAGGTGCTTTGGAGAAGAGGTTGACTTCCCTCTTCTGTGGGGCAGCCCCTTAGTTACTGGAAGACTGCTATCATGTCACCCCAGTCCCTTCTTTTCATCAAACGAGACATACATTTATTTTGAGCTGTTGTACATCAAGAGAACCATAGCAAGTTCTTATTTAAAGCAGGATATCCCTCTGCTGTGGGAATGATCTTCCTCCATCTCCACTTCGAGGTGTCAATCTTATCTTCTCTCTCTTCTTTTCCTGTTTCTCACCTCCCTGCCTCATCCTCCATCCTTGTACTCCTTCTTTCATTCCTTTTCTTTCTCCCTTCCCCTTCCTGCTTCCCCTTCTTCCCTTCTCCTTTCACTGTCTGATCTCCCTTCCTAGGCTAAAAAGCCCAGAAGAAATGAGACCGATTAAAGCAGGGTCCTTCAATCCTGACAGCTGTGGACTTCAGATCTTAGAATTCCCCAGCCAGCCATGCTACCCCGCATGCAGGCCGAGGAATTCTGGGAGTTGGGAGTTCCAGAGGTCTTAAAAGTTGCCAAGCTTGAACTAATCCCTGGATTAAAAATCTTCCTTATTTTTATATATCTCCATCCCAGAAAAGCCTTTCAGCTGCTTCATTTGTTGCTGTTCAAGCAAATATCGGCAGAAAGGGGTTAGGCAAAACTTCTTTCCAGCCAGAATAACAGTGAATATGTTTAAAATCTATTATTTACTTCTTAAACCGGTTCGCTGCCTCTCTCTCTTTCTGTCCTGTGACTCTGGCCAACTTACAATCCAATCTCCCCCTACCCTTTTCATGTCCTCTTTACCAGACCCACTGTTGGTTTTTAAATAAGTCACAGGGGGTTGGACTAGAAGACCTTCAAGATCCCTTCCAAGTTCTACAGCCACGTCCAAGTGCACCTAATAACGGCAGCAAGACTGTTGGTGGCGCAATACTGGAAGAAGGAAGACNATTAATTTATTAAGAGAGACATGTTGGCACATCCGTGGGAAACCCAAATCTGAAAGCTTCCTGGGTTTTCCACCCAGTTGGAAGTTCATAATCTTGCCCCCACAAGTCCATCATCCCATGGTCCGATCTCCCACTGCCACGCTGGCAGCTTCCACCCATCCAGTTCCGGTCAGGTGCAGAGGTGCAGAGACAAAGAATGACCTTGGCTTTCTAGAAAGAACATTGTTATGGCTACATAGCATCTAACTCCATGCAATCCCCGCTCCCAATTCCCCAGTAGGGAAAAAGCATAGTAAAATAAGAGAGTGTGTGGCAGGCCAGAGATCCTAAAAGAAACTGGGTGGAGTCCTGACAACAGGAAGTTAGTGGTGGAAGGTATTTTGGAAGTCTCTTTCCAATGGGGGAGCCAGATTCCCTGAACAACCAGGTGGCTAATTCAACCACTGCAGGAATTGCCTTAAGCAATGTGGCAAGAAAAATCATAAAATGGGACAAAAGTCACCCAAAAGTGTCTCCCTTAGCAACAGAAATTTTGGGCTCAATTGCGGTTGTAAGTTGAGGACTATCTGCATAGTCTTCCCTTTCCCTTTTCTTTACCGTTTCATCGTCCTTGGACAGCTGAGTAGGTACGGGCAGCGAAAACGCTGGGGGGAAATAAAGAGAAAGCATTATATTCCAATAATTCCAAACTGCCAAATATTTAAACATGCCTAAATTTCAGCAGCAAAACACAGGTGCTATGGTTAGCTTGCTAGGTTTCGCGCTTATGACCGGCCTAACATGAATCCAACTTTCCTTTCTGTGATGTGGGAATAAAAGAGCAGAGGTGGGGGGGCGTGGAGCTTTCTAATTTAGTTGATGCGGATAAAAGAAGAGAACAATATATCGAGTGGGAAGAGACCTTGGAGGTCTTCTAGTCCAATAGCAGTTAGACTTATATACCGCTTCATAGGCCTTTCAGCCCTCTCTAAGCAGTTTACAGAGAGTCAGCATATTGCCCCCAACAATCTGGTCCTCATTTTACCCACCTCGGAAGGATGGAAGGCTGAGTCAACCCTGAGCCGGTGAG